TGAGGAAAAAAGGAACTCAGCCAACATATTTGCACGAGTCGCATATAAAAGGTCAAAGAGCTGCATGTGGCTATTAGTTGTGGTTTGGTCAATCTTGACATATACTGTACATATTACTTGCAGTAGATACCAAATGTAAATATAGAATGCTATAATTGAATTTTTTTATTTATTTTTTAATTTCAGTAATTGGTTGATATTTTAAAATAGTTCACTGCACAATTTAAACATCAACAGATACTTCAAAAGCCCTATAGAGCATTGCATGCAGTCGACTATATTAAGAGCAAGCATTTGTGTTCATTAGATCATTGTTTGAATCTGCCAATAATTGGTTCTGCATCCAATTCATCTAATAGTTTCTTTTTAATGGATAACACCATGTGTGGTTCCAAATTCTTCTTAGACATTGAAATTCTTAACCTCTTTAAAATTTTTAGCTTTGAAAATGTCCTCTCACATTGGACCTGAGCAACTGATAGTGTGCAGATGACTTTATAAAGTTCTTATTCCATTGCTAAAACAGTTGTCTGGGTTTGTTTCTTTATTGCATTTTTAATTGCATATTGAAGTGTATTTTAAAAAAAAGACTAGTTTGATCATTTAAATGTCACAATGTGTGACTTGAAATTGGTTTCAACATCATGAGAACGGCAGAATTAAACAAAAACTGTTCTGTAAATATAGACAAAAAAAAATCCTTGAAAACAGATGTAGCAATATTTGAAAGTACAAGGAGAAAAAAATAATGTAAAAAAAATGTAAATACTGATAACATAATTACAACTAATTTGGAAATTTGAAGAATTTAATAAAAAATTTGATATTATTCAACCAAAGAATTGTTGCTGATAAAGCATATATGATATATATATATATATATATATATATATATATATATATATATATGTATATATATATGAGGCACGGTGGAGTAATGAATTGCAGAGCCAGAGTTAATTCCAGTCAAATCCATTACATTCATTTACATGCTAATACCCTTGGGAAAGGTATGAATCCTCTTACTCTCCCTCCAGCTATGGGTAAAATAGCAGGACAGACTGGGTTCTATAGCCTTGGATGGCAACTTGTCTAGGAGAAGGACAACTCTGAATTCAAAACCTGCGTGGGGTCGTTTGGGAACCTTGTGGCATTCAGTGCACCAGGTCTCTATATTCGTCCCTTCAAAAAGTGTGGATGGTCCTGCACGTGGCCTTCACCACTATAATCAAATGTCAGGTGCCGGTGTCGGGCTGTCGGTTTCCTGGAAACTGATCTGCTTGACCCTCATACGTTGAATCTCGATGGGAGAGTCGATTATATATATATACACACATACATGCATACACTTCTCACTTCCTCTCTTAACACTATCACACCTCAGTGAGTAATCTTCTACCTTGAGTGACTCTTGGACCTTGTATGAGTGAACAGTAGTATAAAAAAGTTATCTAACTATAGACTCACATGCATGCATTTAGTCATGTTTTGTGGATCTGAATAATAATTTTTCAAAAAGAAAACTTTTAACAAAATCAAATTTTCAATGAACAAGATTTTTTACATGATTTTTCTATCCTTTTAAAATCTATACTATTTGTAAAAGTTGTTAAGGTTGCAAGTTAATTTGTGTCTGATATTAACAGAATATCATGACTTTGAAATCAAAAAATGCCAGCATAATTACGAGCTGAGCCTTGGCTTTGCCCTCAGTTTATAGCTTTGATTAAAGAGCAGAAGGGACTCTTTGCAAAACATTTTGCAAACTCCATATTAGCTTTGCTTTTTAATAAGCAATTGTGGGGAAGGATCAGCCAGCTGAGATGGTATCTCAGCAGGTGAACCAAACCAAAGGTGTGTACTGACAAAATGAAGAAGCCAAAGTTTGAAACGGTTTTAAGATACATGCAAATATTTCAAGAAAGCAACAAAAAGAAAAAAACTAGAAAGAAGAAACAGTGGTAGTTGTAATTGATAGAAAACAAATTAATCCTAGATCTCTGGAGGGTTTTGAGAAAATGATAAAAATTACGAAATTAATGGTGTAAAGAACAAATTGATTTGATTGATTAATTAATTAATTTAGATAATTATTTTATAAATTAATTAGGTTTTGCTGTCAATCAAAAGCATAGAGTTGTTATGCAAAAACAAAAAAAAATACCTTTACTGATGATGAAAAAGTATGCAGGATTTACGATTTACTCATAGAAATATGAATTTGCAATAATCCTTTAAATGCACCTTAAAGTGCAAATATTAAACCTTTGTGTCTGTGGTGTGCCTTAAGGTGCATATGAACCAGCCTAATTAACTTTAAATTTTTGTGAGGGTTTTTTTATGCTGTACATTTAGATGACCTTTAGATGAACGTCATGAAATGGTGGTATGAATGTGCATATCAAACTGGTAAAAAAGAAGGAGAAAATTCATTTTTAAAGGGTACTTTTATGCTGATTTTCACTTTAATTATAACAATTTACTAAGTATAGTTTAGATGTGGCACAAGGCCTAAAGTACAGAGCATTTAGTGAAGATCAGATTTACTAAAAAAAAAAGATTTGACTGTAGTTGGGATCATTGAGTCAATACAAATGATCTTTTCCTTAGCTGTATTTTTTTTAGATGCATATTTTGAATTCAGAATTTTCCTTCTCCTAGACTGGTTGCCACCCAAAGCTATAAAACCTAGTCTGTCATGGTATTTACCCATAGCTGATGGGGAAAATAAGAAGATTCATACCTTTCCCAAGTGTATTAGCACGTAAGTGAATGCAATGGATTCAACTAGAATTTGGCTCTCCGAATCCTTGGCACTCCGATTCCTTAATCCGAGCCGGTATCCATTAATCCACCATGCCTCCTACAGTCAGTTATGTGCCATGCATGATACACACTTAGGTGATCATGTGTCTTTTGATACAGGACTGACGAGGCAGACTTTTTTCCTGCAGTCGGTTACCATGGATTCATACCTTTTCCAAGAGTATCAGCACATAAATGAATGTAATGAACCCAATTGGAATTTGAACTCAGCTCTCCAATTCCTCAATCCGAATCAAAATCTATTACTCTACTGCACCTCCTTACTACTCTATAGTAACTGATCTAGCAAGACAATCTTTCTAACCATTGCATTGTGTAAAAGTGCCTTTTAGCTTTATTTTTATACAAAAATTATAAAAATTATATTTTAATGCCTAGATTATAAAAAGAAATAAAACAAATGTTAAGTTTCTAAATTTAATATTTTTAGCATTATGATCATCCTTAAATCATTCTATGTTTTCTTTATCAAGTTGGCATCATTTTTTGCCTATTTTCTGTTCAAGAATTATTCATTCAGACATAGTACTGTCTTTGGTTTGTTTTTCCAGGTAGAGATTAACTTCATGAATCCTCATAAATATTGATAGTAACCTCATGAATCAATAATTGTTACCAATTAGTCTGGTCTTTCTGATGACCTTTATCCAATGTCATATTTTTCTAGAGAAGGCAGGAGCTAGGAAAGATCTTCTGATGTTCAAGTGTGAAAAGGCAACAAGATTATGAAATTCCTTGTAGAGAAATATTGCAATCTCCAGAATATTCCTCGATATGGCTACTGTTTTCTGCATACAGTGGGGGCGTCAGCCTTTCTCTTGAACAACTAACCAATAAACAGGGCAATAAGATCTCAGACAATCATCAGTTTTATCAAGATTTTTCTATAGAAGGGAGTAACATTTTCACTCATTTGGGAATGTGTTATGGAGTGATTTCACAGTGGAGGCTTGTATTTGTACTAAGTCGGTCCGAAAACAGGTTCGACATACAAAATGTTAGGAACTTCATATAATATGTATGATGCAGTAATCTAGTTGTGGTCGCTGATACTTTTAGTATCCGTCTAACAGTTGTCCGACATCGACTCACTGAGCGACCTCCCGCTACTCCTACTTATTATAGGTGGGAGAGTCTATTAACAACAGAATAGATGTGTTCCACTATAACAGAATGTACATAGCAAAAAATGTACTGCATGGATTATTTGAAAGGCTTTGCACCTTGACTAGAATTTTTATCAGATTCCCAATGGAATGATCACGTCATTATTTGTGAAACCTGGTCAACCTGAAATTACTTTTGCGGCAGGAAGTGTGTCATTAGTATTTAGAGTTCTTGGATCATCATTGCATTAATGTCGTTAGGACTAAGGAGGCAGTGTTTGTTTAAAGCACTGTATCCTCTACAAAGAAACATTAACCTACTGAAGAGCTTTCTCCTGAAAAATTTTGCTTTTTACTCAAAACACCACCTAGCTGCTATCCAATGGGGGACCAGAAATAAAGACATCAGCTGTTTTCATATTTTAGAGGGTAGAGTTTATTTTCGCTTTAATTGTATACAAAAACTATAAAAATGACATTTTAACACTTAGGTTATAAAAGTAGATAAAAGGAGAAATAAAAAAAATGTTAGGTTTTTAAATTTAATATTTTTAACAGTATGATAGTCCTTGAAGCATTCCATGTTTTCTTTATATCAAGTTGGCATCATTTTTCACCTCTTTTCTGTTCAAGAATTATTCATGCAGACATAGCACCTTCTTTGGTTTGTTCTTCCAGAAAGTGGCATAATCCACGTAAATAGTAACCTCATGAATCCGAGTCAGCTTTCATGCACAATTAATTTGTGCATTCTTTTCACCAAGCTGTCACCAATTCCAGCCTCTTTTCCAATCAAGAAGCACTGTCTTTTTTCAAGTTTGATTTGCATGCAAACAGTCCAGGAAATGATGAGATGCCAGTTAGTCATTCAGACTCAAATCAAGAATGCCTGTATCATAGAAAAAAGTTTTAATCAACAACTTATATCTTCTGATCTCAACATCAATTGATGATTCCTGTCATTCAAGGGTTAACTAAACTTGGCCGACCAGAGGTTATTTTGAATTTTTCATGTCAAGATCTGAAATTTCTTTGAAAACAGAATATCATTGTCTTTATGAGAGGGCTTACAACCATATCACGTTGAAACACCAGTTCTCTTACAATCACTGATGCTAAGCAATGTCCAACCAGGTCAGTACCTAGATGGGTGATCACTTGGGAATACCAGGTGCTGTAAGCTTAGATGTTTTATTAGTGTAATGGATTAGAGCTCAGAATTGAAAACTGGTGAGTTAAGTTCCAATTCCAGTTGGGTTTATTATAGTCACTTATGTGCATAGTGTTATTGTTGTGGATTCCGGGATGAAATCTGGTCTCAAATGAATGACGAACGCAGGAATGAAATATAGCAAATAAATGTATTGACATAATAATACAATTGGTAATACGGTTAGTAGATCCAGAAATGCGGTTAGTAGTAATAATAATATATATACAGTCTGGGAATTTCAGTATCGAAGTATGACTTCCTTCTGAGTCTACCTGCTTGCAACTGTGACTCCTACAAAGCGGTTACCTCACACTTCAATGTTCCAATTTTGGGATATTTCGATTAATATTATCAGCCGGTTATTGCCATTAAAATCAAAGATTGTTTTAATAAGTCAATTATGTAATAATTTCAAGTCAATTAATTTCATATTAATTTTTATATAATGTAAAATTGTTTATAACAATGAATATAAATAGTTTCAGTTTTGATATCCTTTGTTTAATGATATTGGTCGGTTATTGTTATCAAAATCAGTCACTCTTAAACATTATTCTAAGTAAAGAAAAATATTAATTTCAAGACTATTAATTTTTATATAATATAAAGCTATTATTTCTAACAATAAATATAAATTGTTATATCTTTTGCTTAATGTTATTAGCCAGTTATTCTTATCAAAATCAGTCAGTCCCATTGTTCTAAGTCAAATAAATAAAAATTTCAAAGCAATTAATATCATATCAATTTTAATATAATTTAAATTTGTTTATGATAATGAGTACATCAATCAGTGAACCAAAATCTGACCACAGTTGAGATCCTAGTCATAGTAAAGTCTATGATCATTCCATTAGTTGAATAGTATGTGCATTGCTAGAGCGACATACAGTATTGAATTCAGAGTTGTGCTTCTCCTAGATTGCTTAGCACTCAAGGCTAAAGAACCCAGTCTGCCATTTTTGTAATGTCAACAAACACCTATTGTCACTTTTGTGATACCAATGAATAATCATTGTCACTTTCACATTGTAGTAGAGACTTTGTAATCACAGACACAACTATAGTACACCGTTGAACAAGACTGGTGTCAGACACCTTCGAATAACACTCACACTAATAGTACTTGCTCAATAATACTCCCTCAAAAAGTAACCACCAAATAGTAATCTGTAGAGTGATCAGTATAGAGAATAGTGATCAGTATAGTAATAGAGGATAATATAGAAATAGTGATCGTTTAGATATCACACTACTTCCTAGAGGAGGCACAGTGGAGTAATGGATAAGCGGCTTCGATTGAGGAATCGCAGAGCCGAGTTCAAATTCCACTCTAATCCATTACATTCACTTATGTGCTAATACCCTTGGGAAAGGTATGAATCCTCTTCTTCTCCCTCCAGCTATGGGTTCTATAACTTGGATGGCAACTGGTCTAGGAGAAGGAAAACGTAGTGCACCAGGTCTCTGTATTCGGCCCTTCAAAAAGTGTGGATGGTCCTGCACGAAACCTTCACCACTATAATCAAATCTCATGTGCTGTTGTCGGGCTGTCGGTTTCCTGGGAACTGATCTGAAGCCTATACATGCAGGTTTGGGGACCACTTGTGAATTCTAAATTCCCATGAAACTTCAATATTGGAGCCAGCTCAACCCACCCTGGGTGAATGCTGTTACAAGACAAGATACAAGATACACTACTTCCTACTTATGCGTTTACCCCATGGGCATGTGATCCACTTAATTCAATAATGGGATCACCTGTGTTTACTCTCTGTATATAACAACCCTATTATTTAATCCATAGCTGTGGGATTTATGAAGAGATGGATTCATACCAAGAGTATTTGCACATAAGTGAATGTAATGAACTCCTTGAATTTGAACTGAGCACTTCACTTTCTCATTCCAAGCTGCACATCTTTAGCAACCTATCTAGAAGAAGGACAGCTCTGAATTCAAAAACCATATATAGCCCTGGCAGAGCATCTACTATGCAGCTAAGGAAAAGGTTGTGGTGCTCACAATAGATGCCGACTGCTGTTGGATAATGAATGCAAATTGCTTCAGTTTTTGTTACCTTTGCTTAATCAGCCAATTATGGTCAGCTAAAAGACCCTGTTTGAAAATAATCTCAACAAGTATGGCTCCTTTTGTATTTATATTTACATGGTGTAGATCATGAAAATAATATTTAAAATTTGACATCTGTTTATTCATTTTTCCTTTTTTAAAATGTACGTCAATTACATTTAGTTTTAGCAAAAAGAAATAAAAATTTTATGTGCCTGGTTAGTCACTTGGTATTTTACCACATCAAGGAACCAGAATTGTTCCGCAAAATTTCTTACTAAC